AGTAAAGTGTGAAACGTAATGTATATGATTAAATATGTTTTTTTGGCTTAATTAAAAATAAATATTATACTTTAAAAAATAAATACAAAATGGAACAATAAAGAGAGTGAAACCTTACTTTTATATATATGATTTTAAATAATTTTCCACCAATAAGCCTTATAAAATTTGTTGTATGATATATGATTAAGTCCTTTCATTTTCTTTGCCATTTGATTATAACTTATAGTGTAATTAAAATTTGTATTGAATGATTGTCATAAACATTATTATTATTTAAAAAAATAAAATAAAAGCCTTAAATATTTTTCCACCAATAAGGAGAGAGTGAAACCTTACTTTTATATATATGATTTCATAATTAACTTTATTAATTTAATATTAATATTTATTTTTTTTGGTAGGATCCATATGTAATACCCATGGATCTTGGATCTTTTAATTGGATGATCCAAATGTACTTTAATAAAGACCAAATTACTCTTATTGATTTCTAAATTCTTTTTCTAATATTAATAATTAAAGGGCAATTATGGAATTGGAATCATAAATTTTTAATGTTCTAATTTGTACTTCTCTTTTAATTATATAATAACTAGGTTCGGACCCGCGCTACAGCGCGGTGGAAAATTACCGGGCTTTTAGTCATTTGTACGTTGTGGGATAATTTATTTATGTTTATTTTACTTTATTTTGATTATTAATTAAATTCTATCATTTTAGATTGTATTTTTTTGTGTTGGTTTCGAATATGTTCAAAATTATTTAAATTGTATGATTTTAGTTGGATTGTTAATTTTAGAACAATATGTGACATATATACATGTATAAATATTATACTATGAATCATTTTTAAAATTTAGGGATTAACCCGCGGTACACCGCATAATCATAAATACATGATTTTAACTTGGACCTTTCTTGCAGTTTTGTAAAGTTGCAAATCTCTAGAATAAACAAATAAAGAGCCAATGATTTCTTATTTCTTATCGTGTTAAAATGTAAAATCTGTGTTTATGTTACAATTTTCTGGTAGCAGAAACTTATTTATATAGATAATATTTTCTTAGAGTTAGGTTAGTGTTGAAGAAAATATTAGCTTTATAATCAAGCCAGAAATTCGAAACTATTGCCAAATAAATATATTAAAGATGGTTGAAAATAAATTATCCCGTAATTGGTGTGAAAATCATAGTTAATATAGGAGAAAACTATACATCTATATATTAATATAAGATATTTAAGGAAGATTTTGTTTTAAAATATTATGGATAATTTGATAATTATTTTATATTTCTGATTTTTAGGTTAATTTGTTAAACCAATATACAAAATCATACATTAATGTATTTTTCCTTAAACAAATTAAGATTAATGTACTTTCCAAAACCAATATTGATGGATTAATTTGGTAGATTTCGAAATAATATATATGGAAACTGGTATTTAATATCTTTAAATTTTTAGTAAGATCCAATTGAAAAATTTCGGGTTAATTTTTTTAAAAAACCCGACCCAAGAAGCTTTTGTACTTCTCTTTTACTATAGTAGGGATAATAAAGATAGATTGTTTTTTGAACTGGTTGAATTGTGTTTATATAGATATTAAATGATGTTTATATAGAAATAAGCAAAAATTAAATGATTTGTTAATCTGTGTGCTTTTGATATTAAAAAACATCTATTATCGAACAAAAGGGAGTAGTTCGAGCTAACAAGAACAATAAATATAAGAGCAAAGATTGTCGATGCTCTTCCCAAAAAATACCTATTTAGTTTTTTTTGCTATACCAAAATAATAAATTTAGGATCATGAAGGTTCAGTATATAATATATATAATGGCAGTATTTATGTAACTGTATGCTATGGATTTTTAAAATTCTAGTCCAATGTTTGTCATATTATTTTGAAATCAGTTATCAGTTATCAGTTATATATGGTTTGAGTTGGAATGATAGTTAATACATAGGATCTGAATCACTTCTTATTATTTTTTGTTCTGCAACTGATTTCTCAAATACAAATCGAAGTATACTTATTTTTATACGTATGAAAGACAAATCATAATTTAATAATACGTTTTGATAAATAAAAGAAGATAAATTAAAATAGTTCTTTTTTTTTGGGTGTGTGTGTAGGAGATTTTTTAATATAGTATTGGTTATTACAAGACTAAAAAAAGTTTATTAAAGAGTATCGTCGGCGTCGTCGGCTGTATAGTAAAGTTTAATTTTGGGACTGGAGGTTGTATTTCGATGACTATTCCATCCAATAAAATAAAGACAACATGTATCTTGAATAATATATAAAATGATTAAAAGTGATGAGTGTTTGTTTTAGTTGCCCTTGCAATTGATCTCGAAGTCTCTAATCTTCATTATCCTTTAATTTGCATTGGAAATTGATGTCATTGTATCCCTTTGTACCTTTTTTGTGCAAAGTTACATTACTACATTGGAGATTTAGATCTTAAAGAAACGATGTAAGTTTGAATTATGTATAATTTAACGTATATTATATTTTGTAATGCGGTGTATCGTCATGACCACCGTACACAAGATGGACCACTCAATACAATGCATGATGTTCTCATTTTAGGATATGATGGACTTTATACCGAAATAGCAGATTTGATATATTGTCGAAAATGGGGAGATAACAAATATATTTATATATACTTCTCGACCGTTTTTAAACAATATTTTTCTTAGATCACTGCAGTTTTTTGTCCTAACAACCAAAAATTTTCAAGATATCCGGGATGAAAAGATCAAACATGATTCTCGTTTTTTTTTAATCTTAGGTTTTCCCTTAAACAAAAAAAAAGATCTTCATTTTCCTTTTTACCAAAAATATTCTTTATTGGTTGATAATAATTAATCTACCCATAGCTTCTATTTCTTGGTTTGATTTGATATTAGCTATAAATTTAAGGGAACCGTGATTAGTTGATATGATTCATACATACATATATATATACATACATACATATATATATATATATATATATATATGTAAATAAGTCAGAATCTCTTCTTAACTGAATATTACTCCAAAGCCTCATTTGTTACAAAATTTATACACAAACAGTTAATAACCACCACGTTTACCTTATATTATATGAGGTACTCGGTCTCTAGGGATGTTTAGTTGTACAACTCAGTAGTAAAATGAGCTGGTGTTTTCATGTTTGGTGATACATGATTAAGCAAAGCTTGTTTGCAAGGTGGAGTCAAGTGGCTTAATCGACCGAGAACACGATTGGTTTGATGAGAAAATATGCGGATAGCTAAGGTATTTTTGGTCAAAGCAAGCGCTAAGATTTGAAGGGATATCAACGGGCATTTTTTTGGGCCACTTTGTTGAGATAAAAAGTGGCAAAAATGAAATATGAAAACCATAATATAAGCTCGAACCCATAATATATAGAATGAAACATTAATACTAAAAACCATTAGGTTAGGAGATTTTTAGGAAATTGAGGGTCATAAGCTTGAGCTTCATCGGTATGGCTCTACTTGTGATTAAGTACATTTGTATGGATATTGTTTCACTGCATAGTTGGATTAAGTTATATAGCTAATTTGGTTGTAATGTAGAAATTTTGGTAAAAAAGTGAATCGATGCAGGCTATTTCGTCAAAAGTTATGGAATTTGATAAAATCGTTTTCTATATACCATATACGACGATTAGAGATCCGGATTGTAACAACCCATCCCGGTGGGAACCCCTACCACATGGCACACCCCGCCATATGGCAGCTACAAGCGCTGCAGCGCATCGACCCTAACCTCTCTCCTGTGGGTCCCCAAACTGCGCAGCCCACTTGCTCGCAGCCTCCTGGCCCACTAGGTAGGTTATTGGTGCGCCTGGCGTTCCTCGAACCCAGGTCCTCACCCTTTAACAACCTTCCCACCGTGGAAGTTGTTACCAACTGACCTGCAGATCAATTGGTAACAACTTGTCAAGTGGGAAGGTTGTTAAAGGGTGAGGACCTGGGTTCGAGGAACGCCAGGCGCACCAATAACCTACCTGGTGGGCCAGGGGACTGCGAGCAAGTGGGCTGCGCAGTCTGGGCCCATAGGAGAGAGGTTAGGGTCGATGCGCTGCAGCGCTGTAAGGATGCCATGTGGCAGGGTGTGCCACACGGCGGAGTGTTCCCACAGGACGGGTTGTTACACGGATATATATTATAATTCGTAAAGTTTATATCAGAATTTGTAACCAAATAGATATAGGTAGGTACTTTGTTTTTGTGTTACTTTAAAGCTCTCACTGAGATTATAAGTAAGTTACTTATAATTGTGAATTAAGTCAAAGATAATGATGATACTAGCTGATTCTTGAATTTAAGGTCGTGGTCGAATAGAAAGTCACTTTCTTGTAAATGTTGTAATCATCCATTAAATCAATACTTGTAAGAAAAAACAATACTTAACTTATCCACGAGAAGTTTACAAAAAAAAAAAAAAAAAAAAAAAAAAAAAAAACTTATCCACGAGAAGATAAGATTCACATTCTTTGACAAAAACCAAAGAAAAGGACAAAAAGGTAATTTCACAAATTTGTGATAGAAACAGTCCTGTCTCCGTCTCCGGCTCCGGCGACGATGATATGGTTGTTCTTCGCCGTGTTGACCGCTTTATCAACGGTTTCCTCCGCCGTAACACAGTCTCATCTCCTCCGTGTATCTCCGGTCAATTCTCTCTGCGCTGATCTCATTCGTCCCGCTAATTACTCCTGTACCGAACACACTGTACTGTAATCTCTGACTCTCATCTTCTATCTTAGAACCGAGATTTCATCGAATCAGTAGCAAAAAAAAGTGAACTTTTGATTTGGGTTTTATAGATTGAAACAAAGGATGGTTACAAATTAGCTCTTCAACGTGTGGCTTCTTCTCATGGTCCAAAACTTCAAATTGGTCCACCTGTTCTGCTTCAGCATGGACTCTTTATGGTAAATCTTGTTTAAAGGCTTTAGCTTTATAGCATCTCTTTGCTTGGGAAAGTTTAGTTGAAATTTGCTAAAAATTGTATCTTTTTTTGTGGGTTTTGTTGTGATTAGGCTGGAGATGTGTGGTTCTTGAATTCACCAAAAGAGTCACTTGGTTTCATTCTTGCTGATCATGGGTTTGATGTATGGGTTGGAAATGTTCGTGGTACACGTTATAGTTATGGACATGTAACTTTGTCTGAAACTGATAAGGTATGTATGTAAAAGCTTCTCTTTTCTTTGTTCCTCTTTATGTATGAGATTTACCTGAAAATGTTCATTTTAGTTTTGGTACAACACAACGACATATGTATATTTCGCTGCTTTCACTTCTATGATGTAGAGGAATGGTTTAAGTATATGGCCTTGTTAGAAAGAGTAATGCATTGTTCGGTTGTTACTCGTTGAAGTAAAGACTTCTCTCTGAGTTGTGAACGTATTGTTGTATCTTACCTTTGTATGTATGAGCCTCACCTGAAAATGTCCAAATTATTTTTGGTACAAGATCACATAAAATTGCTCCTGTACTTTCACTTCTTAGATTTATAAGAATAGTTTACGAATATGGCCATTGTTCGTGTCTCGTGAGGCTAACTAGTGATTCCGTATGCCTAGTTTTTAGTTATAAAAGTGATTAATGCTGGCAAGAATAGGAGATGTCGATAATATAGCTGACATTATAATGTGAAGAAAGGAGGATAAGAAAGTATTGCTTTTATATGCAGGAATTTTGGGACTGGAGTTGGCAAGATTTGGCCATGTATGACTTAGCAGAAATGATTCAGTATCTATATTCAGTTTCAAACTCCAAAGTCTTCCTTGTTGGACATTCTCAGGTCATTATTATAATGAAATTATATAAGGGTGCTTTTTTGTTGGTTTTTAGTAAGCTAACTTTGTTTAATTGTTCGACAGGGGACTATCATGTCCTTTGCTGCTCTTACTCAGCCACATGTTGCGGATATGGTTGAAGCAGCTGCGTTGCTTTGTCCAATATCATACTTGGATCATGTCACAGCCCCACTTGTTGAAAGGATGGTTTTTATGCATCTCGATCAGGTATTCTTGGCTCTCAAATGTCATTAAAGCGATTTCAGAGAATCAAGTTTAACATTTTTTTCTACTCTTTACAGATGGTAGTTGCTCTTGGGCTGCATCAATTAAACTTTAGAAGGTTGTGACTTTTGTCTCATGTAGTTTTTGTGTGTGTCTTTATAGTGCAATGTTTCCTTACTAACCATCTTGTTCTGTGTTTTCAGTGCTACGTTAGTTAAACTTGTTGACTCGTTATGCGAAGGGCATATGGATTGCACTGATTTCCTCACATCTATAACAGGTTTTTCTCTCTTTCTCTAATCTCCCTGTACATCGTTTCAATAAACGATGCAATTTGCATGCAACATTGTGATATAGTGGAATGTAGTTGAAACGAAGGATTTAGGATTATGTAATGCCAGTTCTTACCCTTTCCACCCAAACCCCATTAGCTCTGTACGTTAGTTATTAGATGACAATAAGGCTTAGTAAGGATTGTGTCTTGTGTATTTTCTTGATTTATGGAATCAAAAATTCTCAAGCTTTAAGAACTTACTATTCTAGTTTAAGAGACCAGTGAGCAGAACCAGACAGTACCCGAGACGAGCATGTCTCCAAAGCTTTGTTTTGGCTATAATTAGCTTCCATGCCCTGTGATACTTTCTTTGTATGACTTTGCACCTTTTTAATCTTTCTTTTGAACTAATATCAACGAATGGCAGGGACGAATTGTTGTTTCAATGCCTCGAAGATAGAATACTATCTAGATTATGAGCCTCACCCATCATCTGTCAAGAATATTCGACATCTTTTCCAAAGTAAGATCTCATAGCTTATTGTGTGTTACACGGCCTAGCTTACATTCTCACATTCTCTTTTGATTCAATTATAATACCTTCAATCTTTATAATCATTACTCCAGTGATTCGGAAGGGGACTTTTGCTCAATACGACTACGGGTATTTCAAAAACCTACGGGTTTATGGGATGTCGAAACCTCCAGAATTCAAACTCAGCCTCATCCCGGCATCATTACCAATGTGGATGGGGTATGGTGGAACTGATGGTTTAGCAGACGTAAAAGATGTGGAACATACTCTCGCAGAACTACCTACCAGTCCAGAGTTGCTATATCTTGAGAATTATGGTCACATTGACTTTGTGCTTAGCGCAAGTGCCAAAGAAGATGTCTATAAGCACATGATTCAATTTTTCAGGGCAAGGAGAAAGTTCAGTAGTTGGTAAAATTCTCAATAGTCACTATACTGCTCTCCTTTGCACATACTTATTTTTCCACAAATATAATGTACACACACATCTGATTGTAAATATTTCCTCAAATGTACTATATATTCTGTTAAACTTAAGGATCTGCGTCTGCGCTCTGCGGGATGGATATTGTTCGTTGGATGCAAAATCAATTGCAATTACAAACTTGTGTTGAAATTTTAGATGCAAAAAGAATGAGGATTTTAGCACAAGTTTGTCACCTTACAGAGATGATCATGAGATCAGATATTTGACTGGCCTTTCCTTAAAGCACAACTTTCCAGTATCCACAAGAGATCATCAGCTTGTACGTAAGACTCGATGAAGTTAACAGTCGATCTCAAAATGTAACATATAAACTACGGCGAAATGGGAAAAGAATGAATATAAAGGGACAAAAGGAAGATGCCAGAAAACACTACATTGAACAGAGAGCACTTGCTAAAAATGGTCGCGTTAAGAAAATGTTACTGGTTCTATTTAAGTAGCCTGAAGTTGTACCAGAAACTGAGCATTACGATGATCTGTTACGGGTAAAAAAAAAGAAAAATCATACTCTCTCAATCTTCTTGTTCCTTACTTGAATGATGTATGTGCAGTGCAAAAGCCCTTGGGATTCCACTGATGTGGCTGTGTTTTTTTTATAACCTTTGGCTGAAGTACATGTTCATGAAGTATCTTGACGGGTTAAATCCGCTTAAGATCACTGCAAAATGGAGAACAAACTTGAGATGATGTTTACGCTTTTTTTTAGGAAGAGGAATCTATGAAACCAATAGATCTTATTGAACTTACAAATAGGGGACAGGACAATCACGACTCCAATTGGGTAGAGGAAGAATGTTGTTCGCTCCAAAAATGGAAGTACTGTATAAATTCACAACAAACAATGCTGTTATCTCAAAATTTTACAGCAGAGTTATTGTGAAAGAAGGAGAAGGGAATTTATGAGACTTACCGTCATATCCTAGGAAGTTAAGATAATGGTAGTACGAAGCCCCGACCATGAAAAGCAGATTTGATAGCAGTAAAGGGATGAATCCGTGCGTTATCAGGATTGGTGATAAGAAATAATGTATGACTACCACACAAGAAGATAGTGTAAGTCATAAATCTCTTTTGCAGAGATCCAAGTTTGAGAATTGAGTAATATATTTGAAGATGGAATTACCGTAGAGCAGCACAAACATTGGAAAGAACGAGTTGCAGTGAACATCAAATGTATACAGCCTATAGAGATATGCATAGAAGGCAATTCATGAACATACTCGCACAAATAGAGATTATAAAAAGGAGAGACTATGATTTGAATACTGAACTATGAACATGATTTTTTCTGTTTTCGAGGTTCTAACTCATCTTAGAGAAAAAGAAATCAATCAAAAAGAGAAGCTGAAAAGACAAGATTAATTCTAATAGCTTACCATTCAACGCGTTGTTCCACCACATGACTGTTTGGAGCCTCTTCGCGAAGGTAAGAGTTTGTCAAAAACCTGGAAATCAATATCTTAAGTCAGAAACAGTGTATATATGATGTAAGAAACCACTCAAGCTCGGTAAAAATAACAAGGAATAGAATTGGATTCAGGTCTGTGCAAGAGTGATTTTCACAAAACTGGTAACGTTCATAAGAGGGACTTCAGTACATAAGAGTGTTTTTCTTGCATGATTTAACGAGCAAAACAAGGATAATAAGTTCAGATAAGCAACACACAGTAGTATAGGGAGTAACAGTGTCTATAGCAAGAATGAAGATAGCACACATATAGAGCAAGCGTACAATTAAGCCGTAAGAGTATACGCCACCAAATGTCTGTCTATGCAATGATAGAAACAACTTACCAACAACATGTAGCTATAATTGCTCCGGTGATTAAGAAATGGGAGAGCAAAACTGAAACGACTACGACGACAGCATGAGAGCTACTATGGTCATACCTGAAGTATAAACATCAGATTTAAATCAACAGAAATCAGAATGATATCGTATTCTAAGGCAATAGTTACTTTCATAGTCTAAAAATTTACATAATACAAAATACTTACGTGGCACAATAGGCTACAGTTGCAACAGCAAGAAGCAGGATACAGATCACAATAAACGCAGGGTCATCACGTGCCCATTGGTTTTTTGTTTCTGAGAAGAACAGGAAAAAAGAAAACAAATGCACTTAAGTTCTCAGGCCATACAAAACCTAAGCTTATCTTTAACAGGGACTAACATTAAATTATGAGTAAAGACGAAGACATAACGCCAAAAGCTGGACAACTTGAAAAAATCATAAGGGGATGCTTCTCTAGGCATTCATTGTAAAGTGGATGGCTCAAAGTACTTTCATAAACAGAAAGCTAAATCATATACAAGCATGAACAAAAGCTGTTTGCAGTATCATATTTGCTAACAAAAGTTGAGCTTACGTTTGTGATACTTAGTGTGTTGATAGCTGATGCCGCAGCGCCCATATGCAAACATACAAAAAGTACAAGAATAAGAACTAAGAATTAACTGACCACATAGTAACTTAACTAAAAATATTCCAACTGAATTAGACTACCCTATTGATCTTTTCAAAAGAACATATAACTATATAAGCCTTACACAAAATTTAAAATTCTCTTCAATTTCTTATTGCAAAAGGTGAAGTGAAACCATCTCAAACTCTATTCACCTAGAACCTTAAACGATAATTCAATCCTAAATCAGCTCTCTAGTAAACCCTGGGTGTCTTTTACATTCTGAGTTTACCCTTATCACCCTCTCATACTGAACAACTTTATGGTTATTGTTACCATCTACTAGTTTATGTATAGAAAAGGAACCTTTCAAAGACTTACACAACTTTCGGAGATGTACAAAGGTTAAGCATTTGCCAGAAAGTATATTCAACATCCATTTGCTGCCACTGCAATGAACCAAAAAAAAGACTGAATCACAAAACGATAAAAAAAAGCTTCATGGCCATGAATATGCATCATAGTGTATACAATTCGACTAATTCTAATTGCATCATTGCTTACAAATTCCCAAAGCTACATGACCACTACCTCAACATCAGCATCATAAATTCATAAAATTCAAAATTGTTACCCAAAACCCAATCCTGAAAATATCTTGTTTTAACTTTCAGATCATCACATTCCAACAAGTGATCACCACTTCATCAGAAATCTGCTAAAGCTAAGTAACACTACGAAGCCAAATATATCAAATCGATTCAGCTAAATCCGAGGCTTTCCTCATCCTCTACCCGTAATTCGATCTAAGAAAATGACGAATCTATGCAAAAAAAAATCGACCTAAATCTAAGATCAAAGCCATGAGAAAGCTTTCGAGATGTGATGAGAAAAGAGAACCTTGACGATACGACGAAAGTACTGAAGGAACATTGGATTAGCTCGGGATGAAGAAGATGAAGAACGAGATCTGGAAGTAGTGGGCAACATCTTCTCCTCCCTTGTTCCTGATCCAGATTTTGATTCTTCTTCTTCTTCTTCAGATCGTTTTGATTCGAAGAGATCTCTCTCTCTCTCGCTCTCTCAGGCTCTATGTGTTTTTCAATTTGGTTTAATTTCGGGTTTAGGGATTGCTCGCTTATACCGCAATCGCACTAAAACGCTTTTTTTTTTTTTCTGGAGTTGCGGTCTGTGTTTTTGCCTTTGGTACAAATTACACAAAACTGTTCATAAAAGGTTTAATTTTAACCGAACTGAACTAAAAAGTTTTGGTAACCAAAGTAAAAATTAACCGTTACATAAAAGGTTTGATTTAGTTTTGGTTTTGTACGATTTTGTATTGGTTTTGAGAAGTATCGATCGATATCAAGGATGGGTGTTGATCGGCACCATCAATTTTACCGGTTTGGGCAGTTTGACTTAATTGCTGGTTTAATTGATTGGTTATTGAGGGAAAACCTTAAGCACTAATTAAAACTCGTGTAGCATCATTTTCTCTTCACCTTTGGTTTTTGTCGCTTCTCAAAAGTTAAGAAAAAGAGAGATCTTGTGTGTGATCTTAAGGTGCTAAGGAGAGTTTCTGGAGGGTTTCCTGAAGGTTTATGTAGCTGTTCTTGGGTGTTCAAAAAAGGAATTTGCTAAGTTCGTAGCTGTGATGTGAAGAGAGGTTGTTGGAGTGCATCTTATATGTTTTCATCCATTCATTCAATCCACATCGAGGTGAGTGTATGACCAAGGTTGATCTGGCATATAAGACCTTCTCATGTGTATTTGATTGATTTGATTGAATGGAATTATTGCGTTTTGGCTTGTTATTGTGTTGTGGATGTTATTTTGTGTCTGTTGGTGGTTTAGGGTTCGAGTTTGGAGTCTGGAGGTGGTTGAATCGATCTCTGAAGCGAGGAGATGCAATTTCAGGGTTACTGCATAGCCAGTGTCAATCAACACTAGGAGGATCGACACTCGGTCGACACTATTGATCATCGTCGAGGTGACACCAGTAGTGGGTGTCGATCGACACCAATTTCGGGACAGTTTTTTTGGACAACAATTTTAGGACAACGAGTTGTTCATGTCTTTTTATGCCTCGTTTGTTTTGTCTGATTGATCTTATGCATGTTTGTTGGTCTATTATGCATTTGTGTATAACCCAGTACATGGGAGCTACTTCACTGAGTATTTGTGATAATACTCACGTATTGTGTTTGTGGCGAGGTAAAGAGAAAGTGTGATCGTAGAAGCAAGGCGAGGAAGATGCGATGATCTAGAGTTGATGTTTGGTGTTTACGTTTTGTTATTCATTTCTAGAACCATGAAATTAGAAGCATGTTAGGCGATTTATATGGAAACTTATCTTTCATAGTAACTTTCACAATAAATAAGCTATTTTTATGGTAATTTTTTCATATTAGTGCTCCTAACTAATGTGCAGGATTTTAAACTATATAATTAAATTTAGGGAGAATTTCAAAAACAACACTTTTTCAATACCACTTTTTAAACATACCCCTTTTAAATTTTATCAAAAAGTCACTATAAAATTTAAAATTTATCAAAAAAGTATGTGTACGCTTATATATATAGACAAAAATTATCTTTATATGTGTGTAAATTTATATATATATATATATATATATATGTTTCATAAATACCGTATAAATAACTTTTAAAAACCTTTTAAAAATCATTTAAAAACCTTATAAAAACTTTGTAAACCTTTTAAAAATCTTATAAAAAATTTATAAATGCCGTTTTGAACCTTTTAAAGCCTTATAAATATTTGGATTTAGTCTCGCAACAGTAATTATGATCTTGATGTACCTTATCAACCATATAAAAGTTTATAATTTTTCATATTTGAAAAGAGGTATTTTTGAAAATGGATAGAAAGTGGTATTTTTAAAAAGGGGTACACCAACTTTATTTTTTCAGTTTTTACATTTCAATAGTCATTAACTTGTATTAGTTTTTATTAAACTTGCAGAAATGCTATGGCTTGAAAATCAATCTAACATTGATTTGGTAAAGTATATGTACTCAGATTTAGATATTCTATATATGAATTAAAAACATGTGAAAATTATATATATTTTTTAATCGGATACCAATACATTCGATTATATAATTTCATATTAGACATGTACTAATTACAATAAAAAATTAGCACAACGACATTTATGATCAACACAATGGCCAAAATCATATCTTAGACTAAAACAATAAAGACAGCAGTGTGCCACTCGAACACACAACCTAGGATCCTCAAACGTTACAGATTGCGGAGGGCCTAGTCTACTAGGTTGAAAACCTATATACAATATCAACAATAATTAATACCCATTAAACAAAGAGTAAAATCGTAATAATGATAATTACAAAATGAATGTATGAATAACAATAAACAACTACCTGGAGTTCCATCATTTGTAGCAAGACAATGAACAAAAGATATGATGAGGAGGATAGTGAAACAAAATGCCACTGTTTTCATAATGATAACTATTATGTTACTGATAATTCTCTCAACTTTTTTTTAATAAGTTGATCTTCACCTAGACTGATTATATAATACAAGAACACAAAATATGTATCTTTCGTTTTTTTTCCTGGTCAAATTTGCAAAACAATATAATCTTTTAATTATGGTTGTAAATATTACTTGGCTAGTATAGAGATTCAAAATGTAAATATTACTTAACCAGTATAGGTTCAAAAAGTAATACTTGACCAATATAGATTCTCTAAATAGTATTGCTTGACCAATATATATTACCTTTTATTAATTAAGTCTTTTAGCTAAACTAATATTCAGCATATGAAAAAAAATTTCGGATGGTTGTAAATATTCAAGATTGGTATTAATTAATATTTCTTGGCTTCACAATTAAAAAAAATATAATTTCGAGAGTTATCTCTTGTTTTATTGGAGCAAAGTTTAGCTTAAATTTTACAATAGGCTAGAATTCACGTATTCAATATCTATCACCTTACCTGGCCTGACTGCCAAAATTTTTGTAGAACCTACCTCTTCTCCTGGCCAGTTGGCCTAACAATCTTCATTTGAGATTGTATATTTTTAGTCAATTGGATAAGAAACATGTAAGAGATTTAGACTCACATATAGGTACAAATTTTTAATTGTAGATATATTTGGTTTGGTATAATATTGTAAATATAATGTTTTCTTTAATCAAGTTTGTGTTTGAAATAATAATCGCCTCACCATAAATTTTGGATCGATATGATAGCGAACATGTATCGATTGTGAACCGGATTAGTGATAAGTTAGATTTCTATTAAACTCATGAAGTAGCAAACGAGATAAAAAAAACCTAAAAATATTAAAACTTTTCAAATTGGATGACCTAAGTATGATTCTAGGGGATTTTAGTTTGTGTGGTCTTTTCTTGGGCTGTTGCAGACGCAATGAGAGTTTTTCCAGGTTGTTATTGTTATTCAAGTCATCTTTTTAAGGTGAGTGTGTGACCATGAGCTTATCTAAACGATTGGGATTGAGTGACTTTCTTGTAATGATTTGTAGGTGAATTGGAAGTGTCATTAAATGTTTGGCTTGTTGGTTGCTTTTTTATGTTATATATGTGGTTGTTATCTCATTGATTGTGTGTATAGCTCGTAAATGGGAAGATCACCTCACTAAGTATTTTTAGAAATACTTATGCATCTCTTTTTTGTGATGCAGGTAAAAGCAAAGTGTGACCGTGGAATCAAGGCGAAGAGAGAAGAATGATCTAGGGGCTCGCTGATTGTGTTATGCTTTTTGTTGTGACTGTTGTTCAGATGGTTAGTTCTGAAATTTAGAAGCATGATAGGATGCTAATGCTAGTTCTGGATGGTTGATTGACAATTGATATTGGTTATCGGATTGGTTTTTTTATTTGTTCTTCCGCAGCTTTTTGTTGGTTTAGTTTGATTGTCTTGGTTTAATCTAGTTTAATTGGTTTAAATTGATTTAATTTGGTTTAGTTGGTTTGGGTTGGTAAATCTAGTTTAGTTTTTGCTAAAAAAAATGGGTTGGGTCTTTTCAATTCGGTATAAGAGCCTTAGCGGTTTTGGGGCTGAATTAAATGGGTAGTTGTGGTTTGGTGTGTGAAGTTCATTGTTTGGAGACTTGATGTTTGAAATATTGTATGTTTGGTTGATTGTGAATGGTTCATCAATTATGTGGACATGGATTCCTAGATCATTCTTTCAAGCCTTCAGAGAGATATCATATTAAGTTATATTTGTTGTGCTTTGGTTTGCCTGATGTTATTAGCCTCTTTGTGTTAGTTTAGATGGATAGAGTTGATGGTGGTTGAGGTAGGGGTCGTGGTCCTGGTCGTGTACGTTATCGCGGTAGGGGTGGGGTAGTACCACAACTAATGTTTTTAGCGGACTACAAGCGCATCAGGAGGGGCCGCGGGCTAAGGCTAGAATGAGTGCCGTGTGGTCACGTTTGGCCGGAGGCGATGCTGGTTTAGCTGGGAATCCGGTTGGGGGTGTTCCAGCAGGTGGAGCCCAGGGTCGAGATAATTGTCTCGTGGTTTTGCTAACACAGTTGTTAAAACAGTTATGGGTGTGGTGTTGTGCATGCTCCAGTGACACCACCAAGGCTTGCGGGTGTGCAGTTGAGGGTTGCAACAGTGCAGCCACTTGGTGTTAGGGATATGCAACCAAATGTTGCGAGTTTGCAGCATAAGGCAAGTGCGGTGGTTGAGTAGTCGACTACATGAGGATGTTGGACAAACTTTAGAGGCTTGGTATGAGTGTGTTTCTCCGGGGTATCGATCCCTCTATAGCTGACAAGTGGAGTTTGAATCTGGAAGTCCTCATTTTTTCTTTGAGATGTCCATAGGCGTACCCGAGTGGATCTGGAGATTCACTATCTAGCTAGAGAGGCTCATTGAAGTAGGAGAGTCGCTGTTAAGAGAGAGCAGAGCCAGATGGTGTATGGGAACTTCTTGGGAGATTTTAATGCCATGTATTTCCTAAAAGAGGTAGTATATCGTATGGAGTCGTAGTTTTTGGCGTTGGCTCAGAGTGACGGGTCGGTGCAGGATTTTGATTCTGAGTTGAGCAAGCTCCTAGTGTACTCAAGTCAGA